TGGAAAAGGATTTCATCAATAATTATATGTAATAAAATGTATCTTAAAAATACAAGATAATTATATACATAAAAATTTATATATATATATATATATATATATATATATATATGTGTGTGTGTGTTTGTGTGTGTGTGTATTGATGGCCGACCATTCTTCTGGTGGAAAGTCCTGTGTGGTTCAGTGACTCTGAGTGCAACGCCGTCGGGTGTTCTAAACTCCTGGTAAGGTCCGCTTGGTGGCAAGGTCGAAGACGAAGACACAGACTAAGCGTGACCAACACCAACGGGGGAGGAGACAAGCAGATGACAATTACAACAAATGATTCGGTTGATTCAGCAGATGGAGAGGGCTACGCCTGACGGACATACTACAGAAGGCGCTAGACGAAATGATAACAAAGTCACTGGCAGTCGTATAAATATATATGAAAAAGAAAAGTTTCATTTTTTTAGTTGCTTTTTGATGTCGCTTGTAAATTTTTGTGTTTCTTTTATAGCCTTGTTTTCATTTACTTTTTCATAGATGTTATCATTGTTAATGAGCTCTCTCATCTGTTAGGAAATATGTTTATCCATGATTACAATTATTACAATGATTACAATATTAATCTACGCCCAGGCTTTTTCCCTATTTCACCTTTCTTAACAGAATTACTACTCTTCCAAACAATCGTACACAACAGGATCAAGAAATCAAAAGAAAATGGCTGAATCTGTCAATACAGCAATAAAAACAATATCTCCACACCTGACAGTAATTGATGTAATTTTCAGTTAACAGTATGAAAATAGCGTTCTCTAAATTCTTCCAGTTGCTATGCACATTTTGTTTTGTTATAATTAGTTATTTTGTTTAATAAATTCATTTTGTTTTTGCCTTGAAAAAGTCCACACCAGGCGAAACGCGTCGGCAACTATTACAGTTTTCCTATTGTCTTTTAAATATATATATATATATATATATATATATATATATATATATATAGTCATCCACAGACAGATTGTTTTATCAGTGTGGCTAAACGTCCGATTGCTTCAAGCCGGGATCGAAACGCGACAGATTTGGCATTAGTCAGATATCTTACCCCTAAGCTATCGGCGCACGCCAGAGAAAGAGAAATTTTAACGTATTTTATACAAAATGCATACAAACGCCAGTAGCCAGGAGAGCTCAGTTCGTAATTGAAGAGCAGCAGCAGCAGCCACCTTTTTTTAAATTACCCTTTTCTCCGAAGAGCTTCATCGGCTACCAAGAGCATAAATAGTCATCCACAGACAGACTGTTTCACTGTATCACAGCTCGTCAGTGGCACTAAACGTCCGATTGCTTCAAGATGGGATCGAAATACGACCGATTTAGCATCAGCCGACTCACGCTCAAAGAATAAAGCGAGAGCAAAATTATTATTAATTAAAGAATATCAAATACTTAAAATCACATAGGTAATAATTTTTATTTCAGAAGACCTTTAAAAAACACCTCTCAATATTCAAGATCTACAAACAAATAAAAGAGAAAGGGTTACGCCAGGTTAAAATCAGGAAATATTGTTATCTCATTCAGAGAGTTGCAAGGGACACAGAGATCTGAGTTTAAATTCCATATAAAGGTAGTAGGACTTTATCTTTAAGGCCCTACGATTTTATTCTCACGCTTAATGTTTGTGTTGACCTAATTTGATATTCTAATTTCAGATTTCCCATTAGTATGTCATTTGAAGAAGGAGGGACAGAAGATATCCACCTTGTATGGTCTTGTCAAAGGTTAAAATTCCAATGTAGATCTATTTAATTCAACAAATTATTTGTAAATAATATTGGAAAATTTTTTTTGTTAATCTAAACTAGGGGATTAACCACAATTTGACCTTACCTTTGTTTAAAATACATTCATATCCTGTCAAATCTTAATAAATACCTCTCGGATATAAAATTCTAGGGCTCTACTTATATAATCTTTATAAATTATTTTTCTATGAATATAATTAATAATCATTCAATTCAAATCTCTTAGGTTTTTCCTTTTAATTTCCTTGGTTAATTATATAAAAAAAGCTTATACTAATTTACATTTAAGTTATAACTTTCGTCGCTAATTTTGAAAAAAATTCTTTAAAAATGTTCTTAACAAAACACTTTTCTAATATTATTTACAAATAATTTGCTGAACTAAATAAAATATGGTAATCTCTATGGTATTTCCAGGAGAATATAGATCCAGAGAGAGCTCTATGTCAAAAGAGAGAGCAAAATTATTTTTAATTAAAGAATCAGAATTGGAATTTTAAAGTTTGACAAGGCCAGACAAGATAGACACTTTCTGTCCTTCCCCCTTGCGCAAATGACATACTAATATTTCTCGATTTTAACCTGGAGTAACTTTTTCCATTTTAATTGTTTGTATGCATTGAAGATTGAGATCTGTTTTTTAAAGCTCTTCTGAAATAAAAAAATATTTCCTATGTGATTTTAACTGTTTGATATTCTCTAATTAATAATAATAATAATAATAATAAATAATAAATAATAATAATATATATATATATATATATATATATATATATATATATATATATATATATAAAAAAACAGACCACTTTAAGGTACCATTATAATAATTTATTTCACAGAGCCCTTTTTAAAGGACGCCAGATCATCAGATAGCACTTCAAAAAATAAATCATTCATTTTCATGGTTCATTTTTGGAAGTGCTATCTGATGATCCGGCGTCGTTTAAAAGGGCTCTGGTGAAATAAATTATTACAATGGTACCTTAAAGTGGTCTGTTTTTCTTTTAAATATTAGCTCTGGATTTACATTGAGCTCTCAGGATTTCATCCTTCTTCATAACTTATATATATATATATATATATATATATATATATATATATGATGAAGTGTAAGTTATAAATTAAGCACACAGCGTAAACAAAAAGGTGCAACACGTTAGGTAACTGGGAGGCGTATTAAAATTGGAGAGAAAGTGTGACAGGAAGATTCGAAGGCGCATCTGGATAGCGAAAGATGCCTTCTGAAAGTTAAGCAAAAAATTAAGAAACAGGAAAATATATCGTTATAAACAAAGAAAAAAAGTACTGATTGTTATCTAGTATAAATCCTCCTATATATTTGTGAATGTTGGACAATCTCTCCACAGATGAAGAAGAAACTAGAAACAACCGAAATGTGACTCTACAGAAGGATGCTGAGAATACTATTGATTGAACTTGAGCTAGGACCATGTTCTAGAGATTCCAACAAAACGGACACATAGCTAGCACAGAATTTTCTGTGGCACATGCTGAGGAAAGAGGACTTTGAAAATTTGATACTCACAGGACAGATATAAGGTAAGAGAGAGAGGGGAAAACAACGCACGACCTATCTGGCGGGTTTGAGCGAATGGATAGTGGAGTTAGATTTGGAAGAGTTGGCGAAAAGACAAAGTTTTTCTTAAGAGCTACAAGGTACTAGAAATAGTGGAGAACTATGATCGTTAATTTCATCAAAGGACACGGGACATAGAAGAGAAAGAAATGATTTTCAATCGTAGGGCACAGACAAGTTCTTGAAATCGAACCAAGATGTAGCACTTGTGAAATGTTCAAAAAATGGTAAATGTCCGCTTGCGAACGTATTGTGTAGTTTAAGCATCGTAAACAGTAGAATTCTATTTCCTTTCTATTCTTATTCATTTTTCAAGAATTCTTTTTACACATTGTTTTCGGATTCTTTTCTTGTTATCCCCGGGTTCATTCCTTTCTCTGTTGATTTGTCTTTGCGTTTGAGGATTCGATGGTTTATTTTTTCTTTTTGCAAATCCATTCTCTTAATTCGAATTCGTTCGACTTTCATTTCTCCCCTGGCTTCAGCGTTTTCTAATTCCTTTTTTCAAACAGTTTTGTTCATTCAGCGATCTTCCTTACTAATTCAATATCACTCCGTGCATATTATTTTCATTCATTTCTTTTGTTTTCTTTTTATGATTTTGCATTTCTTTCTTTCCCTTGTCTTACGTCTCTGTGGAGTTCTACTACTACTACTACTACAATTACTACTACTTCAACTATTTTGCTCTTTCTGTTTTCTTTCTACCCTCCTCTGAAGATTCTGTCGTTGTGAGATTTAAAAACCTTTCCCTTTTTCCCATCTTTTTACGCACCCCCATCTTTTCTGCAGATCAAATTTTCTCCTCTTCCACATCTGCAATCATCTCTTCCTACCAATTTTCTTTTGTCTTGAATTTAATTCTCTTGTCGACTTTGTATGTCTTCCATTCCGAGTTGTCTTTTCTTCTCGCTGTCTTTTCAGTTCGATCTTTTGAATTGGGTAGAAATGGCGTATGTTTTGCATTAAGAGGCCAACCAAGCATTTCTTCCTTCCTTCAACCACACATTGACACACAGAGAAATCAAAGCCCACATACAGACCTCGCACACAAACAAGTAGAGGAGAAAAAAAAATTAAAATTTAATATGATGAAAAAAAGGAAGCAAGACTAACTGAAGTTTGATCGAAATATTTTGTATGTTTAATCTGACATCCTAAATAATCCCATACAAGAAAATAAAGCGCTTAATTGTACTTTTTCTTTTGTTTCTTTCTATCAGTTTAGGCGTCACTCGAAAGAGGTCGCCTCCTCCCTTCACGCATGACAAGTTGAGGTCGCGATTGGTAATGTCGGACGAGTATGGAGTTATTGCTGGGTGGCAAACGGATCGAACAATTTGCACTGAGGTGCTTGGTGGGTCAACCGATATTCTTCAGAAATTAATATATATTCGAAAACAATCAAGACTACATTATTTAGTCAGACAAATGGGTGCTTTGCAAAATGGTAAATACACCAAGCAGTTAATCAAATTTTGCGATTCTAGTTGAAGACTGGGAGGAATTTCCGACAAGAAAAAAAGACATTCATGAAGGACTAAATCAAAAGACAGCTTCATCAACTAAAAGACATTATAAATGAAAAAAGTATGATAGGAGCAAGAATTATGAATAACATCGTTGGGACAAAAACGTTTCATTGTTTATATTTACTACGATATACTTACATTCATTATCAATGTATCTATCTTTCTATCTATCTATCTGACTGTTCCATTTTATACCTACCCACCTACCTACCTATCTATCTATCTATCTATCTATCTATCTATCTATCTATCTATCTATCTATCTATCTATCTATCTCTATTCAATACTATCTATTTCTCTCTCTCTTTCTCTCTCTATATATTCTTTATTTCTTTCTTCCTTTTTTCATTAATTCTTTCGTTAATTCCGCGGCTGTCGAATTTCTTTATTTTTTTCTATCTATCTATCTATCTATCTATCTATCTATCTATCTATCTATCTATCTATCTATCTATCTATCTATCTATCCTTGGCTATTCATTTACTGTCAATCTATTTTTCTCTGCCTCTTAGAAAAAAAGAGTGAAAGAATATAATCTGGCGGAGATAAATATATAATCATTTTCTTTCTTTCTTTCTTTCTTTCTTTCTTTCTTTATTTATTTATTTATTTTTTCTTTCTTTCTTACTATCTATCTATCTATCTATCTATCTATCTATCTATCTATCTATCTATCTATCTATCTATCTATCTATCGCTGTTCCATTACTATCTATGCATGTATGCATGCATGTATGTATGTATGTATGTACGTATGTATGTATGTATGTATGTATCTATCTATACATGGGTGTTCATTTTCTCTATATACCAATCTAGATCTCTATCTATATATGACTGTTCACCTATCGATGTCTGCTTAATTTGTATATATGCACCTAGATACCTATCTATATATGGCTGCTTATCTATCTATCTATCTATCTATCTATCTATCTATCTATCTATCTATTACTATGTATGCACGTATGTATGTATCTATCTATCCATCTATCTATCTATTGCTGTTCCATTACAATCTATGTATGTATGTATGTATGTACGTATGTATGTATCTATCTATCTATCTATCTATCTATCTATCTTTTTTTTACTCAACCTATCTATCAATGTAACTCTATATCTATCCATGGCTATTCATTTATTGTCAATCTATTTTTCTCTGCCTCTATTAGAAAGAAGAGTGGAAGAAAATGATCAGGCGGAGATAGATATATGATAATTCTCTTTGTTTGTTTGTTTGTTTGTTTGTTTGTTTGTTTCTTTCTTTCTTTCTATCTATCTATCTATCTATCGTGGTTATCTTAGTATTTCTAAGGGAAAATTTGCATAGACAACCAATATTTTATACTGAACTCTCATAATTAGCTCATAATTTGCCTTGATCACCAGTTTAAACAAAACCTGTCATGATGACTTTTGGCATCGTGTAAACGCAACCAACGTGGCCCTTTGAACTGTTTTCTCTATCAAAAGTTACTTACTTGAACGAGGCAGTTAGATGCTTTTCATTGCTCTTATGAGGATGCGTCGGTCTATTAAAATATGTGAGTATTTAAAAAAATGAAATATAATAGAAAACTCCATCAATTCCTGACTTTTTCCTAAAAATTAATGCTTGAAATACTAACATAACCACCAATATAGACAGCTTTTGCACTTAACGCCACATCACACTTAATCACCAGTACCCGTACGATCACCGAAGTTAAGCAACATCGAGCATGGTCATTACTTATATTGGTGAATGTTTGGGGTTACTAGGTGCTGTAAGGTTGGAAGTGTTGTCTGTCTCATGTATAATGTCTTAGAATTATTAATCGGAGAGCAGTTGTCCAATTCCCATTGATTTCGTAATATTCACAAATATTACGAACAAATACGCCTGTGAAAGGTATGAATCCAGATTTTCCAGCTATTGGTTACTTAGCAAGATTTCTATCATTAAATCATTATTGTCTTCAAAAGAATTCTCGCAATATAAAAATATTTTCTGGTTTTAAATAAACTGAAAAAGATTGATAGGTCGTAAAAAAGATACCAATCAACAAAATCAAAGAAATATCTTTCCTCAGCAGAAACCATAAGGTTATATTTAGATAAAGTCAAATACACCGCCCTTTTCTTTATTATATACAACTGAACTGTTTTCATCGTATTTTTTGTCACAACATTTCGACTGTTAATCCCTCCTGCTTTCTTTAGGAATTTGTCGATCCGTGTAGTCTTAAAAGAATTTCGAACTGAACACTTTTCTTAATCTACAGGAGTAGATTTGTTTCGTTCATTTGGCTGGGTTATTCTATTATTATTTTACGGCCCAGTGATTAAAGCGTTGCTTCGTGAATTTGATGACACAATAGTTGTGAGTTCAATCCGAGTTGTGCAGTTTGGATTCAGTGGAAACGGACCGTGCAGTATTAAATAAGAACTTGCTGAGATGTATCTAGATGTTGCGAGCGAACCGGGAACAATCTACTCCTCTGGCGATGAAGTAAAGGGCCCAGTTCGAAATTATCAGATTAACAGACACCTGATGAAACCTGCAGGGCACAACGGCCGAAACTTTGTGATAACAACAAAAAAATGAGGACATTAATCTGCAATGAATAATGAAAATAAGAATGAGTAGAAGTTTCTCGCTTGTCTATTGTTTAGGATGGCGTATCTGATTTCATCTAAAGTCTATTTCAACTCTATTGACCTAACACTGGTTCTCTCTCTGTTTTCCCTTTTTTTTATTACAGAAAGCTTCATCCTGTACAAATTCCAGAGGTGAATCGAGATAGAGGGTTACGTTAAGAAGCGTTTTATACCAATAAGAGAGAAAGACAACGGTTAATCTTAGTCTTGAAAAGGTTAAGATTGTAGAGACTGGTGAAAAACTCATTCGAATCGGTTCCACAGTGTAGTAATTAGAGGGAAGAACTCCAAATAGTAACAATCTGCCTTGAATGACTCTTGTGCATTGTATTGTCTAATCATTAGTAAAAAAAAAAATCTCCTCATTTCAGAAATTCAGACAGTACCTTTATTCGAGAGAAAATGCTAATCAACAGTTAAGGTTTTTTGGTCTTTATCTACGGATATAGCTTTGAGCACGGGAGGTTACTCGTATTTAGGTTGTCTTTCAGTCAGAGAGTCAAATGAATAATAATCTCCAATGACCACTACAAAGAAGCACAATAGGTTATCGATTGTCCAGTGGCTTTAGTGAAAATCAGTCGGACTTTGATGAATTATGTATTTTGGCTTTCTGTGCTGACTGACCACGCTGACATCCGAATAAAGACTAGTCAATTAAAGATTGGCAAATGTTCGGAAAATGTATTTCTGCACAGTTTTTATCATGTAGATTCGAAACATGTTATTCACAATATGTACAAGATAATGTTATGCAAGACTTTACGACGAGTTGTTCATAGTTAGTCTATATTCCCGACAGTCCTAATTGTTGTTTTGGTACTTATTTTTACCAGAATTTTGTTTGGTATTTTTGTATTACTTTTCTTCCAGCCGAATACGTTCTTTATCTATCATTGGTCAATCAGTAACGTTGTACGATGTAACGTTCTTCTGGATGGTGTTACGTTGATTAATTTGTGGAAAAATTTGGGCGTCTGACTTTTTCATCCAAAAGGCTCCCATATAACAACTATTGTTTTCATCTTTGTTTTTGTTATCACAATGTTCCGGCCGTTTTACGCGCTAGACTTCATCAGGTGTGTATCGATCTGGGTAACCTACAGGGATTTCGGAACTAAACACTTTATTTAATCTACGGAGATAGACTGTTCTCGTTCCAGTGTTCATGTCTAAGGATATCTCGTCTTGTTCTTGTTTTAATTCTTCTAAGCCTCGTTTCCAATCCTCGATCTAGGAATTGAACTCAAAATTATTATGGCATTAGATTCATGAATCAACGCTTTAATCCACTTATTTCCCCCTTCTGAAGGTCGGAGAGCCTAACGACCGAAACGTTTTGATAACAACAACAAAGATGAGGACAATAGTCTGAAAGTAAATAATGTAAATAATGTTATAATTTGTTAGCATCTTGCCTTCAGTCACTTTCTCATCTTCGTAATGTAGCGTCTCTGTGCCTTTCCTATAAATGCTTTCAGGGAAATTTTTATAACGACTTTCCCTCTATGGTACCTCGACTTTATGATTTTAATAGCAGTACGAGTTTGGCAGCAAGATCTCATCATTTTACAATTGAAATGGCTAGAAGTAACCGTACATTTTCTGTCAACAGTTTCTTCTATTCGCACTTCTCGCATGTGGAACTCTCTTCTGGCTTCTTGCTTCCCAGTCAACTTTGATCATCAAATATTTTAATGTAATATCAGTCGTTATATTCTGCCTTTTTAGTTCTTGTTCATTCATTATTTTCTCTTCTTAATAGCGTTTTCTTTTTTTTCTCTCATACTAATTAACCCTCAGTAACCCCCTTGTGTCTTAGTGGCTTCATTGCCTTGCTTGTGGTGAAATGATAAAAAATCCCAGAAATTCAGACGGTAATAATAGGGACGGCGTATTTGAATATTTCAATAGTGTCTTAAATAAGAGTAAGTCTTTTATCTCTCCTCTCTTCACTCAAGTGGAAGTGTTAATATCTTACTAATAAAGCAGAATATCTAGCTCACAATTTCTCTTTAAATTCTAATCTTGACTCAACTTTGGCTGACTTTCCACTTCAAACTGTGTATCTGTTGGCATATATGCATATGACTCCTTTTATAATTTCTGCTATCTTCTATAAACAGGATCCCCTCAATGCACGTAAACTTGATAATAATCCTTCGATAGTTCTTAAGAAATGTGTTCTTGAAACGGCCATTGTTCTCTCTAGGCTGTACAATAAGATCCTTACTGCTTCTTGTTTTCTACGTGTTCGATATCCTCTTCTGTAGTTCCAGTCTTTAAGAAGTCAGGTGAACCGTGTGAGCCTTCTAACTATCGGTCTATTAGGCTTGTAATAGTTTTTTAGTAAATAGCTAAAGGCTCTAATCAACTCTGAATTGGTTAAGCATCTCACCTCGCAGGATCTTCTTTCAGACAAGCAATATGGCTTTCGCTTCCCTACGTCACCTGCTGATGTATTAATAATTATTGCTGAAATGTTCTACCAAGCTTTAGATAAGAATCGTGAAGCTCGGTCTCTTGCTTTGGATATCTCGAAGGCATTTGACAGGGTTTTACATATTGGTTTTCTCCACACACTGTAAGGTTATGATATATATAAATAAATTCTTTAACTGATTCAGTCTTTTTTATCAAATCGTGAAATGAAAGTTTTCTTGAACGGTCACTGTTCTAGATCTTTTTGCATTAATACAGGTCTCTCCTTGAACCTAGATTGTTCCTAATTTTCCCTAATGACCTTTTTGATGGCATCAGTTCTCAAATTGGTATCTAGCATAACTATTTATTCCTGTCTTACTATCAAGTCTGATCAGTTCTATAAGATCAAATTGACAGCTGATGTAAAAAAGTAACCTATGTTTTGTTGTTAACAGGGTCAAGGACTGTTTCTTTTTTTTTTTTTTTAATAACGCCTTCAAAACGAAACTGCTCTCAATTAATCGTCTGAGAAAACCCTTTCTTGCTTCCGCCATCATGTCTAATACTAATCCCCAATGAGAGCGACTCGTTACACCTTTTGGGGCTAACGTTTCCAGCTAACATGATGTGTAAATATTAAAGTGGTACTCTGTATCATGCTAGACAGTTTTTCTCGTCCGAATTTATCTTACATATTTACAAGTTTACCATACATCCATGCGTAAAATATACCTTCCACCTATGGTCTGGTGCTCCTGCTATATATTTAAAAATCCATGATAAAATCTACCAAGGAATCGGCAATGTCATTGGTCCGGACCTGGCATCTCGGCTTCAGTTACTTTCCACAGCCGTACATGTAGCTTCCTTGTGCCTTTTCTATAAAGGATTTCATGGTAATTATTCTGAGAAACTCTCCTCTATGGTACCTGGACGCTATGAATTTATGCATAGTGCTAAATTGGCAGCAAGATCCTCTCATCTCTTTAGAAACGGTTCCGCTTTCACCAGTGTCAAACATGGAAACACAGGACCAGTTTGTTCTAGATACAATTGAGATGACATGTCTTATCTTAATTGTTTCTTCTGCGACACTTCTCACTTGAAGAATTCTTTTCCGGATTCCTGCTTTCCTGTCAACTACAATCTCCAAATTTTAAATGCAATATCAATCGTCATCTTGTTTCCTTGAAACCTGTTCTTATACTGTCCTCCTGTGGAGTTACTGTTTGTTTGAAAAGATAAAAAGGTAGAAATTCAGAAAAATAATTATGAACTTGATTTAAATGACTGTGAAAAATACGGAGCGCAGAATAACACACACACACACACACACACACACACACACACACACACACACACACACACACATATATATATATATATATATATATATATATTATATTTACATAGCATTTACCTTGCATGATATTTAGTAAGGATGGCAAAATAGATATTAGATGATCTGGTATAAATTAGATAGAAGTGGCAGACATATTATTCCGAATTTCAGTTGACGTAATAATAATAATAATTATAAGAAGAAAAATGATTGACGTAACTCTTCCAATATTTTGCAACACTTAACAGAAGAACACGATTTAATAAAAGAAAAGATACGGGGTTTGACAATGTTCAACAATATTCCGACAATATGTCTGTCTTTAAGTTATATATAAAAAAAATCAAGTATAAAATTATATAAATTTACAAAACAAATATAAGCCTTTGTAGTAATCTTGCTTGTCTTGTAATAATAACAATAAAAAAAAACTAAAAAAAACGCTATACTGGTAATGAACGCATCAAAACGAATGAAACACCACCAGTGGGAAGGCATGCAACTAAAACGTGCGTAATATAATGGTGAGTTACTAACTTTCCACCCTGGGGGAACGGAAAGTTTGACAGTAAATTTCCATATGATTTATACTAAACTGTTTAATTATTCCCTCTTAGTAATTAATCAACTAACGGAAAATTACTTGATGAGCAAGGTCATCATGACATTATGCTCGTTTTAGTTGCATGGCTTTACGATAGCGCCGTTTTATTCGGTCTAATGAGTTGATTACCACTCACCGGATTGAGGAATCGGAGAGCCGAGTTCGAATTCCAGTCGAATCCATTACATTGCCTTACGTGCTAATACCATTGCGAAATGTATGAATCCTCTTCTTCTCCCCACCCAGCTATGTGTAAGTAGCAGGACAGACTGGGTTCTACTTGGATGGCCACTGGTCTACCTCAGAAAGAAATTGCAACCTACTGCGGGAAAAAAAAATCTGCCTCATCAGTCATGTAAGGAAAGATAGATGGTCACCTAATCGTGTATCACGCATGGCACATAACTGACTGACTGACCACAACAACCGCTTTTACATTGCATGACAAGCAACGTTTTTACAAAAATTAAAAACTTGAATATAACTTGAAGAATAACTTCACTTATTCTTGAAATATTATTGAACTTTGCGTCTTTTTTGTTTCTTTTTAAAATCTCGCTCTTCTTTTATGTGTTAATACTACTACTACTACTATTATTACTACTACTACTACTAATAATAATAATAGTAATAATATCAGAAGAAATTTGATCACAATAAAACTGAGTTAATAATCGTTTCCACAATCTAAAGAAAGGTACTTTATTTCTAAACCGACACGATACACGAATTTTAATCCCTTTTCCTTTTTAAAGGAAATGGAAACAACAAAATCATAGCCAATAAATTGGATTTAGAATTCGTTTTAGGTATTAAATCAGGCCAAGACCATTATTTCATTGCCAAACGAATGTTTTGGCCGGTTAATGAAAAGGTCAGAAACCTGATGTTTAAAATTATAATTTCTCAGATATAATTTAGATCGCAATTTATTTTCCCGAATCTGGTTAGATTACTGAACACAGGGCGGCCGATCTTGAAAATATGCAGACAAAAATCATTTCAAAAAAGAGAAAAAGAAATCAAGCTTGCTTGAATCTTCAGTATTAAAAAAAACAAAAACAGAAATCGTGTTCTTGGAGGGAAATTGTGCATAATCATAGCTTGACTTTGTGAAGGAAGATTTAGGAGAAACCTCAGCAATTGTTACACGTGGAATAGCCCACAGGACTGCAGAAATATTAAGGCCTAGAGAAGAGGGTAGATTGTTCAATGTCCTCTCACCTCTGCTGCAGGAGATACGTGGAATAATTTTGCGCTAATGAAAAGTTAGAGACTGGTGTGAATAACCAATTCAATCAGAGATTCTTGTCATATTTTAATTATATAGACTTGAGATAACGATATATAAATTTGTATATATCAAAAACAATATTGAGGTAAACGTTTATGACAAATTGGAAAATCTTTTTTGTATGAGGCATTTCATCTTTTAGGACTTCATTGACTAAATTTGTTAAGCTAATGATAACGAACGATGGATGCTGGGAGAAACAATTCACTAAGGCGAAAATATTTACAGAGTGCCTTGGTCGCAAGTCATCCACACTAAATTTAGAACTTGGATCTTAAAATATTTTACGATTCTTGGTAGATCTTCTATTATCACACTGTGGGATATCTAATAACAAAAGTGATGGAAACAAAAAGAAAAAAATATATCGAAATTAGATAGGTTAGATTATATTCAAAAAAAAAAAAAAAGAAAAAATTCCCACCATGTTCGTTAACGTGTGTAGTTACTACAACGTAACAGATTTGGTCCAATGAATTCCTAAACGACGAAACACATCACACCAAATCTTTTTTCCACTTTGACATACATTTTCTCCTTCAATTATGTCATCTTATAATGGTTCTTATACCAATGTTTGGGCTTGCTTCGGCAGTTAGCTGGAGATTCATCTCTAGTTATGCTAGTCGAACTCTCTGCCTTCGAGCGAAGAGGAACCCAGACGAGGCTCTGCCCTTCGGCATAGCCTCGTCTGGGGTGCTAGACAGCTATCCAACCCTGTTTTTACGGGGTCTACGGGAATTAAATAACGGCCTTGTGCCAATCCTATCTTGCGTTGGGTGAGGTAAGTAACCTTATATGAATGTACATGTAATGTAATTTTTATCGGCTCAGAACTAAGAATTTTGTGAGTTTTCAATATCTGTCTATATTTCTGAGATCAGGCATTGTAATTATTTACACTATTTACATTGTTCGGACTGTTGTCCTCATCTTTGTCATATTCGCGACGTTTCGGACGTTTTAGCCTCAGGCCTACTTCAGTTTATTGAAATTCCGAACCGAACCCTAGAACAACCTACCCCGAAATAAGGACGAAATAAAGCGTTCGAAATAAGGACGAAAATAAAGGATTCGGTCCGAAATTCCAGTTGCCTGATGAAGGCCAGAGTCCACAATGACTGAAACGTCGTGAATATGCTAAAGATGAGGACAACAGACCCAACAATGTAAATAGTGTAAATTACCGTAATCCCCCATGTAAAATACGCATTTTTTTCGAAAAAAAATAACAGAAAAAACATGGGTGCGTATTATGCAAAATATTTTTTAAAAAATTGCCCTTTCATGGGTCGATTTCAGTTGCGAAATGACTACTCACCACAAACATATGACAATTTGACGGTAACATTCGGCGATTGCGACCCCATAAATATGTCAAATACAATCGTGTGTACCTAACAATACTTACAAATGTAAAATTAGATAAGAATTATCATAAAAGTAAATTAGAATAATATAATTCTATGTTTTAAACGTATCATGCGTTAGTAAAAGCATTTTCCCACAAATTTAGTGATGCGTATTATGCATGAAGGCGTATTATTCATGGGAAATTACGGTAGTTCTTTTCGTTTATTTTTGTTCAAATACTCTGGAGAAAGTTATGAACCCGTCGCTTCTCTCCCTGGCTATGAATTAAATATCATGTCTCTCGAGCCTTGGCTGGCAGTCAGTCTAGCAAAAGAAACATTCTGAATTCCCCAAATTGGGTGGATAGCATTCGTTCCTGTGGGAAAACCTGGTCGTCTAATGGAAGGAAAATCCCGACAGAAAAACAAACCTTCATCGGAGTAGAGAATGTGAGCGGGGGTGGGGTGGAATCACAAAACCCCACCCCACCCCACGAAATAATTTAATTACAGAAAACTTATCAAGAGGCGCTTTGAAGATAGCAATACAATATTAAAATATATATTTCTTTCACTATTTGTCGAATTATTTAGTAAAAGATAAAAATTGAACAAGGCCTGACATAAAAGAAATACGCGTGTGACTCCGAAAGTAATACCACAGATTTTATTATCTCGATGCACAATGTAAATTGGTATATCGCATACACTTAGTACAATGACATACTGGATGGATCCTGGGTGCATGGCAGTAGAGTTAGTACAAATTTGATTTTGGTACGCATAATGGCTAAACGAGCAATTCAGCGAAACGGCATCTGACATGAAAGGCCACACGAAGCAAACGTGTGTTATTGAATTCTTCCGTGCAGACAGAGTTGTCCCGATAAACATTCACCGACACTTAATTAACGTTTACGGAAACCAAACAGCGAATGTGAGCACGGTTAATTGGTGGATAGTGTGCTTCACCATTGCCGACTGACATGTGAGTCATTTTCAGGCGGTTCGCTTTCAATGCTGGCGATGGTAGTGACAATACAGACAAAGAGTGTATGTAGTCAAAATCTTGGAATCTTTCACCTTTAAAATTGTTTCTTTCTTGATTTTTTTTCTTTTTTCTAATAATCATTCACACCTCGAAAATTAAAGACAAGAAAAAAAAAATAAGATCCTTTGTGAATTACCGATGGCACCTCTTCAATCCTGGCTTCATATGTTTTCCGGATGAAGAAAAGTAATGACCATGTTTTGGAGTTTCCTTCTTTTAGGCCAATATTACCGTCTCTGGTTAATCGCTGGGGAAAATCCGTGCTTAATAGTAGTGACTATGCGAAAACAACTTTACCAAGGAAAGCAGTGTTTTGTAGCCGGAATCATAGAGTCTGTTGCTTCCGAAATAGGCCTGTCAGGAAACGTCTCTTTGCACATGAATATTATTTATCTTTCTCCTTATAGATGATCAACTAAAAGGGAAGAAAAAAAAAACTCAACAAATTCTTCTTCAGAGAGAACTGATTTTTCACTAACATACAAGTAAATGTCATATTTAAGAGATTTTTTTAATGCAAAAGTAGACGAGAATTTTTGTGGCGATATTATGTTTTAATTTATTGAATTTTCTCCTTTTAACACACCGAACAAGGGTAGTTTTAAACACTTAATGGATGAGCTTGTATTTAATAATAATAATAATAATAATAATAATAATAATAATAATAATAACAAAAAACAAATCAAATTCGATCATGTAAAAGAAAACTCCAGCCACACCACAGAAGGTAAAAAAAAAAAAATGATATAATTTGACATTACTGCAAAACGACATTTTTGTAAAGGAACTACATTTTTTCACGAAGTTCTACTATATTTATTCGACTATTCCATAATCAATATTCGCAAATGTTCTTGTTTTCATCTTTTTTGCTTCTTCAATTTTCCAACGCGTTCCTACTTTCAGTCTCATTCTTCCTTCGTGACTTTTTGGTGATATTTCTTTCTACTATAACAGAAATGACTGTCAAATTAGACTTTTTCAGTTAATTGTATATATGAACTAAATATGTAATTCTGTCCATTATCTATCTATCTATCTATCTATCTATCTATCTATCTATCTATCTATCTATCTCTCTCTCTCTCTATATATATATATATATATATATATATATATATATATATATAAGTTTTATCTAACTGAGGCTGTTTAATCTCTCTGCCTCTATCTATCTGAATAGATTATCTATCTGAAACTCTTATCTATCTATCTATCTATCTATCTATCTATCTATCTATCTATCTATCTATCTCAGTCTGTTAATTTTATATGAATCTACATATATCTGTCTCTCTTTATATATATATATATATATATATATATATATATACACACACACATATATATATATATATACATAAATATATATTTACATATAAGACAGTTTTATCTAACTGAGGCTGTTTAATCTATCTCTCTGCTTCTATCTATCTGAATAGCTTATCTATCTGAATAGCTTATCTATCTGAAAATCTAATCTCTCTATCTCTTTTATCTGTCTCTTCTATCTATCTATCTATCTATCTATCTATCTATCTATCTATCTATCTAGCTGCCTGTATGCCTGTCAGTCTGTCTGTCTGTCTCTTTTATTTATGTGCGCCATTCTATCATCACATTGCTTTACGCCTATCTTTGAAACCTTATCCAGAACATCGTTGTGACTTTTGTTCCAAATGATTCTATTAATTCCATTATTTAATTACTTGCATACAGGCACGACTATAATCAAAGAAACTCACTTCCATTCATCAGCAGAATCACACACAAACGAATTGAAATTCTTAATATAATAATGATCAGTTTCAACAACGATGCTTGATGATGGCTTCATCTGTCCCTTTGCCACACACACCCGCA